GCGAGGTGTGATAATTCCAAAAGCCGTAGCAAAGAAAAACCTCGGTAGGTTGGCTCGACTTTATGTTAAAGAAGAACATGAAAGACAAAAAACGTATCTTGCTCAAGGGCCTTTTATTTCGATTACGGATGCACTTAAAATGTATAACTCAATGGCATATTGGCTACAATTACAAGGATTTCAACAAATCACTTTTCCAAATTCAAATTACAAACATATTGATCAAATATTGACTTTGGCTCTAGACAGATTGCAAGAAGTTTATTCAAGTAACTCTTCGTTAACGTCTTCTCAAAGAAATTGTTTGGAGATGATTGAGAAAGCGAGAGAAAATCCAATCGAAACGTTACTGAAAATTAAGAAATACTTTTTAGTTCAGCGTTCATATAAAGAAATCGTTCTTGACTTTAATGAAACAGGAAGCGACATAGTGCCTATTTATCAGGTCGACGCGTTTGAATCTATTGTCGACGCCTATCTTGATCAATATTTATGTTATGAAGCTGATGTCGCTGATTTATTCCCTGACTGGATTAAACCATCGGATAATGAACCCAACCCTCTGATGATATATAAGTTTGCTACCGAAATTAATAGAATTCCAAAGATTTGGGATACAGAAAACGGCTCGCGAGTAGCGTTGATGAGAACTAAATTATGTAAGCTGGCTAAATATGTTGATCTGACGTTACTTAATCGACTACTCAGATTGATTATGGACAATAGTTTGGCTGATTATATTTCGAGCAAATTTAACGTAGTGTTGGCTTTTAAGGATATGTCGTACACAAACCATTTCGGAATGTTGCTCGGTTTACAATTTTCATCTTTTGTTCTTCAATTTTATGGTTTGGCATGTGATCTACTAATTCTAGGTATAGAAATGGCCGATAAGTTACACAAGGGAAAACTCGAAAATCTTCCTACGGAAGAGGTTAAGAATTTCACTAGTAACGATCCAGACATTAAACTTCCAATTGTCGCATATCGACGTTATTTGGACGAAGTTTTTATTCTCATTCATATTTCTGAAAAAGACTCAAATGAAATAGTTTGTCAATATGTTCAAGAAAAATCTGATGTTTTTTCAGATAATAAGCTTCTTTTTGATGACTCTTGCCAGTTAATATGGCCTGAATCTTATAGAATGAGGTTTGTAGCCGAAGATTTTCGACTAGCAAACGTAGTTTATACTTTTATCTCAGCTCGTATTCCAAAATATGTAGCTGAAATTTGCGCTTCGGATTCATTTGTCTCTATTTATTCTGCAGAGAATCCGAATCTTTTACTCAAGATGTGTAATTTCGATTTACGTTTTTTGCCACGTTGTAGAGAATCCGACATACTTAAGTTAAGTTCTGATATCGATGTGGATCCAACAAGTATAATTTCTACTTCTTCAGCATTTTGGCCTTTGAATTCTATCGATAGTGAAGTAATTGCAACTTTATATTTAACGATTTCTAAAGAAGGCATTCATGAATTTGAAAATAGAATTCGCAATATTCTGCAATGCACAACAAATGCTACATTCACTAAAGTGGCTGCAAAATGGAATACTACTTTATTAAGTATGCTTGCGTACTATAGAGAAGCTGCGGTGACTAGTGAACGAATGTTGGATTTAATAGTTAAATCTGAAAACAAAATTCAAGTAAGAATTAAGTCGGGACTTAACAGCAAAATGCCTTCTAGGTTTCCACCTGTTGTTTTTTACGCGCCTAAAGAATTAGGTGGTTTAGGTATGCTCTCCATGGGTCACGTTTTGATTCCTTCGGCTGATTTGAAATATGGCAAACAAGTTGAATCCGTAATCACCCATTTTAGAGCTGGGTTAGGAGATATAGAAACAAATTCTGTCATTCCTAATTTATACCGATATATTAATTCGTGGGAAACTGAGTTTAATGACAGTGTTATTGTGTGGAATGAATATTTGTTAAAAAGAAAGCTTTGTACAATCGAAAATCGTAAACTATCGCTTGAAGACGTGAATGATATTTGGGATAGAGGGTTACCGAGAATTAATGTTTTGTTTCAAAAAAACAGATTTTTGTTGTATTACAATAGGGGTTGGCGCGCTCGAGCCGAGTTTGTGAAATATCAAACATGTAAATGGGTTTTATTTTATTGGACATCTCAATACTTCGATGGCAGGCTATGGAATTTGAACAATTACCGTACAGATATTATTCAAGCGTTGGGCGGAATAGAATGTATTTTGGAGCATTCGCTGTTCAAAGCAACTTTTTTCTCTTCATGGGAAGGTTTGTTTTGGCAGCGAAATCAAGGACTTGAAGTAGTGCTTAAGTGCAAAAAGTTAACAAATGCTCAGCGCAGCGGTTTAAATCAAATTCCAAATAGACGTTTCGCTTTATGGTGGAGTCCTACGATTAACAGAGCTAATGTATATATAGGTTTTCAAGTACAACTAGACTTAACAGGAATATTTATGCATGGTAAAATACCTATTTTGAAAATTTGTTTAGTCCAAATCTTCCGGGCACATTTATGGCAAAAAATCCATGAAAGTCTGGTAATGGATTTATGTCAATTATTAGACCTTAAAACATTGAATTTGAAATTGTTTTCTGTAAAGAAAATGAGTATTCACCCACGAAAGAGTTATAAAATGAACTTCTCCGCCGCAGATATATTACTAGAAACTATTAACCCTGTATTGTTGTCTGAACCTAGTTTGCTTTCCAAAGAAGACGCGTACGCCAGTAACCCAGATGATGCTCGCAATTTATTCATAGACATTCAACTTTGCTGGGGGAACTATGATACTCACAACATAGAAAAACACTCAAAAATAAAATATCTGGATTACACGACGGATGCCGTTACTTTATATCCATGCAAAAACGGAATCGTTATTGGTTTCGATTTAGCTTACAACATCTACAGCGCGTACGGAAGATACTTCCACCGGTTTAAACCGTTTTTACGTGACGCATTAGAAAAAATGAATCGAAATAATCCTGCTCTCTACATTCTTAGAGAAAGAATAAAAAAGAGTCTACAACTGCATTCCAACATGCCTGATCAAATGAAATTCACTACAACCAACCTTTCTGCCATGTTGAATAATCAGTCAGCATGGTTTATTGACGATAAAAACGTGTACCGAGTTTCAATACACAGAACGTTTGAAGGAAATTTAGCGACTAAACCAGTAAACGGAGCTATATTTATTATCAACGCAGCAACAGGTGAGCTATTTTTGAAAATAATACATTCAAGTGTTTGGGCAGGTCAAAAGCGACTGTCTCAGTTGTCTAAATGGAAGGCTGCTGAAGAAATTAGTTTATTAATTCGTTCAATGCCGGTTGAAGCTCATCCTAGTGAACTAATCTTAATTAGAAAGAGCACAATGGATCCCATTGAAGTAAATTTACTTGACTATCCTGACATTCAAATAAAACATAGCGAGTTAGACTTGCCTTTCGCTGCGTTGATAAAGGTACCCAAGCTTCGAGCTTTAATTGACGCAGCTGAGAAATCTGAGTTACATATTTACAATATTTACGACGATTGGCTGAATGAAATATCTGCTTACACAGCGTTTACTCGACTTTTGATCATTTTAAGAGCTGCTTTAGTAAATACAGAAGAAACTATTAAGCTTTTAAATGAAAGTATGAATCCAAATTCTCCTCATATTTGGCCTACGTTGTCATTGGATTTGTGGGAAAAACTTGAGTCTGAGTTAACTGATATTGTTCTCAACAACTATGCGATAAGAAACAATATCTCGGTCAGTAGTTTATTGCAATCAGAAATACGTGATATTATTTTGGGAGGTAGTAACATGAATGCCACGGCTAACAACGCAGAAGCCCAAAAAATTGATAGTTCTAAAGGTTTATCTACTGATGCTTCTGTGAAGGCTTTTAAAACTTCGAATGTACATGGTCAAAACATTATTGTGGCGACGCAGACTGATTATGAGTCTCAGAAATTTTCAGGAAATACCAGCTGGAGAATCCAAATACAAGACAGTCGCATATTACCAGCGATTGCAGCCAATATTAAAATTGTTCAGTCTTGCAGTGATGTTGCTGGAGCAAGCAAGTTAGTGATATGTTCTAATTTACTGAGCAAATTTGTTAAGGCGGGATCTTTTTCAGCGAGCATAGGAGCATACATGTTCGGCCACAAATCAACTGACGAAATTTGGAATGTCACCAAGTTTTTAATTCCTCCTCAGTACGGTACAAATGAGTATGTTGTTTTGTGTGCTAGTGATCCGACTCATGCGCTATTATCTGATCAAGCTTGTTTTGGATTTATAAGAACTTCTGCTTGGAACACACTTCCCAACAAGCAAGACTTGCTTGTTTTTAGACAAATGCTTGATCCAAACAAAGATAATTTTGGCTCACTGGCCATCAACAACTGTTGCTTGTGTATTTTGCAACTGCTTACTACTGGAGTGCAGGTCGCCCCATATGTTTTGTCTGAGAAAGGCATAAGTGAAGTTCTAAGAGGCAATCCCATAAAAGAATTTGAACAAGGCTTTTTCAATGAAATCGAAAGCGAGGTAGACACGAATAATAAAGGAATATTTTTCGTTCCACAAACAAAGATTTGGAACTTCAACTGGAACTCTTTTGGTTTTTCCGCAATCGAAAACGTACAATACATTGTAATGCCTCCAACCGATTTTTATGAAAAACGCAGTCGTGCTGTGCACTTCCTAAGTTTTGCCTTGGGAAAAGGAGAAGCAACAGAAGCATCTGCCGAAGAAAATTTGAAGAATGACTTTGAGTCTCCGTTGGACCCAACTTATTTTTAATAGTTTATTAGAACCGACTGCAATTTTGATTCTGAGACTTGTTTAACGTTTTTATAAACATATTGATTAATATAGATACAAGGGACTATTATAAATATTACGAATATCAGTAACCCTACTGTAATTTCCGTACCTGTGTGATAAAATGCAGCTGTGAAAAATTGTGACCACGAACATAACAAAGTACAAAAAATCAATATCAAGCGCGCAATGGTATTATAAAATAGTTTAAACTCATCGCTAAATAGAATTTTAAACTTCAATTTATCATAGCTCAATTCCCTGATTTTAATAGTTACAATGTCTACACATGCTTTTAAATCGTTTTTTATGGAATTTTGTTCATAAAAAAAAAGATTGAGTAGAAGCGTAAGAAGAAAAGTAACTAGAATAGCGTGGTCAGAAGTTTCAAACCTCTGAATTGAGTATGGTGACACGTAATTGTTCAGTTTCATTAGCAATTTTTCTACCGGTGCAGAAGATAAAATTACGTTTGATATTAAGAAATATACAATAAATATTCTGTACAACATTAACAAAACCACGTAAATTAAATATTTCGACGGAAACGATACGTTTGCGTATTTAAGTTTCAGTAGTTCAATGAATTCTTGACGACATGTGCTGCTTGTCAGTAGTTTGCGGACATAAAAGTAATCGGTGTATATTTTAGTTGTAATGATTTTACGCCAAAAAGTCCACCTGTTGACGTTTGAACTATTTCCAGATGACTGACCTGTAACTTTGCCAATGCTTTGAGAATCATCGTAATGATATTTTTTATCGGTTAAAAAACTCTTTTGGTTATATTTGCTTGCTTTATCATTGTTTGATTCATCAAATTTTGATTGATTGTATAGAAAGCAGTAGTAGCTAAGTAAAATAATAAAAACGTTGCCTAATAACGATTCAAGCAAATTACGTACAAAAAAGTAGCCAACGTAGCCGGGATACACAATGCCCAAAGATTTTGTAATTATAGATTGGATTTTTTTACGAAGATATTCACTCTCGACATCCCCATCCCAAGCCAGCAAACACATTTTGTTTTTGCAAATTTCAAATAATTCTATTTCCTTGAACTTGCAAAAGTCACTACTTATAGAAAGAAGCTTCTTTATTTTTTTATCGGACAAGCTATTATGTTCAATGGAACAAAAATCTCTACCTTTTTGTTCTAGCTCTGTGATATTTTTCATAGAAGATTCAAAACAAGTAAGCAGCATGTTGTGGTTTGTATTGTAGTACCAGTCACCTACTGAGAGCCATTTTCCTGTGTTTAAAAGTAACCCACAAAAAAAAAATGAGCCCGATATTAACGGGGCGAAAACCAAGCTGTAGTAGTTTAACATTCTTTTGAAAGATATTAGTTATCTGACCAGTAGTTTAACATTGAATCTCAAAACTTCTTTTTTTATTTATTATTTTAAAATTAAATCTGTGTTTACTGCAGAAGACTGGGACATTTGTAATCGATTATATCATTTCATTTCAGCAAAGGAATTGCGTATGTATTGAATTTTTATGTTAAATAAGTTTATATCGCTTTTTTATTTGCAGGAAGTTAGTATTTTTCCAATATGGTTTGTGCATCAATTAAATAGCAGAACGCTTACCAGCAAAACAATTACCTGATAAAGTTATAATTCTATCATGCAATCAAACGTTATGCTAATTTTCGATAAGTGGTTTATCTTTTTAGCTTATAAAAATGCCATTTTTACGCTTTTTATTTTGATGTTCAAGCTTCTGCGACAGATTATAAAAATTTATATATATATATACAAAATAGAAGCTAACACCCTCTAATTTTGGCCTGATAAGATGCAAATCTGATTTCTTGAATTAACTCAACGAACCACGGGTAAAGTTCTTATTTATATAGTTCGTGTAATATCATAAAAAATAAATGTAAACAGCAGTAAATTACATGATTTCTTGGATTTTCAAATCAAAGAATTTCGTAAAACACGATTTTCGTATCTGAGAATAATAAAATCTACTTCTGTTTGAATTGGATTCTAAAACCTCGTCTTTCACTTGGCCTTCCGGAAGAGCATGGAAGTAAGTGCCTGGAAACTTTTCGAAAAGAGCTGTAGTTGGCGTAATCGTGTATTGCAACGGTTCATAAGAACTGCAGTAATCGAATTTTTTGTCAGGTAGGCCGAGATAGTTAACAACAAAACTGTTTAAGCTTTGTAAGAAAGTTGCATTCGTGAAATCCAGAACGGCTTGTTTGCCACTAAAATCTGTAAGCACGTATTTAATATGTCTGTCTTCGACTTCAGGAGACTCATTATAATAATGTAAGTAAGGGTTGGAGTCGTAGTTATTTCGCCAGTACTCTATTAACTTGTTTATGTCGACAGTATTCAAGTTGTAGTGCCACATCCAAGACTTCATATTGTAATGTGAGGAAGCAATGATAGAAGTATCAAGAATTCTGGATTCTAAATAATACTTGATGTGTCTTAAAACGTCTAGTTCGCTCAGAATTTTTTTAGACATCGCAGGAATAATGGTGATTAGTTGAATGGCTTCATTTACAGGCCCTGTCTTTTTAAAAACGGTGCCCTGATAATTGGTCTTCTTCAAAAAGTTTGATAAATCAGAGATGTAAGGAGCGTCTGGAGAGTCGTAAAAAAATGACCAGTCAGAAATCTTTGCAAAATAGTACTTGGTAACCCACTGAAGCGCATCGAAATATTTTTTGCAGTGTTGGTTCATTTCGGTCTCGTATAAATATTCGTTATCCGAATCTTTAATGTGGAAATGGCGCTTGTTTCGTTCTTTGAGTTCTTTCTCAAAGTTTGCAATAAAGTTGTCACTTACTTTGTACTTATCGAGCAAAACTGACTCGACAAACTTACAAACCCAAAATTCTATAAATCGGTGCTCGATGAAATTATTATTATTCTTTGTATATTCTGTGACTTTTTGTCTGAGCTTATCTGTGAGATTCGTGTGTGAAAATTCTTGATCCAGTGAAAAGCTGATAAATTTGTCTTGGGATTCAAACAAATCCTTACAAATCAAAGCAGACTCTCGCATTCTAATAAAGTTGTTGTATATGTTTGTATATATATCTTTGTTTAGTATGTTGTTTTTATCTGCAGTTTTTTTCTTCAATTGCAAGCCGATTTCCATGGGGATATTTGGAAAAATAGACTTAGTGTTTAAGCTAGGTATTACCGTATAAGTGTTTAAATCAATTAACGGCACGCTTTTCAAAAAATTAAAAACGATTGATTTGAATGATTTAATGTTTTTATCGACATCGGCAAACCTGATAGATGCAAGTTCATTAACAGAGGTGGTTAAATTGCGGCCCGTGATGCTTAAACTCTTGATATCTTGAATTTCTTGAATGTACGTGAAAAGAATCGAATACTTATTCAATATTTGAAAAAAGGTATTTATTACAGGCCAGTTAATGGTAGAGTCCTTTACTAAAAACCCGTTTAATTTACCAAGGTTGAAACAATAGATAATAAAAACCAAGTCAAAACCTCCAGAAGAAATGGACAAGTCTCTTATGTTTGGCAAGAAATCGTTTCCAATAAGAATGGAAATAAACACAAAATCAGATATAATAGAGTTTTGCTGAGATTCTGTTAAATGATAGTCTTCTCCAATGATAACTTTAACGGAATCAACTATGCTATGTCTCAATTTTTCAATTGATATCATCGACAGTCCGTGTAAATAAGGTAGACATTCGAATTCGAATTGTTTTTCTTTTTTTGTAGGTTCTCTTTTCTTGTTATTTGAGCCATGGCAATTTTGAAATTTAATTTGAGCTGTGGGTACAGTTTTTGCATTTGAATTATACTTAATATTTTTGTTTCTAAGCTGTTTGGATTGATTTTCAAAGCTGTTTTTGTTGTAATAGTCGGAATTATTCCGTTTGGCGTCGTTTGTCTGAACTGGTTTGTTTTTTATGGTCATATTTTCTTTTGATTTATCGGTATTGCGGAGTTCGAAATCGCGTTCGGCTGCGGGAGGAGATTTATTTTGAAATTTAATACCTTCGCGAACCAATAAGATATTTTTTACATGTGAAGCTAGCAATAGCAAAATCAAGTCTGCATCAGGTGAAAAAAGCACATGAGAAGCGTTGTAAAATGTTTTATTTTGTCTATTAGCTTTGATGAAATCTAATATCTTGTGTTCCCCTTCTCCCGCGATTTTATGCCCACTGTAAATAATACCTACATCGAGTCCTTTTTCATGCAACTTTGATTGCGCCGAGCGTATATAGTCATTTATGAAAACGTCGAGCTCATTCATAAATTCTGTTCCTGGGGAAATGCAGTTAGTGTCAAAGTACAACTCTTCATCGATATCGTATTTACTCGCGTCTTTCGAACGTAAAAGTTCGTTAATGTGATTGTGAATTTTTTTTTTAGCAATTAATTCGCCAGCCTTTCGATAACGTCTAGTGCGTTGCTGAATCATTTTTGCTGCAGGAGCTACACCATCAACAGCAATGTAAATAAGTTTGTTTGGCGTAAAAGTTAAAATAAGTCTATCTAAGTAAGCTCCAATGAAGTTAAATCCTCTCGTATAGTTACGTGAGTTGACCTCGGAAAAACTCAACATTGGATGTACAATAGAATTTAAATCAACATACAAATAATTAGTATTGTCACTACAGGGGTCGAGGGAGATCTCGTTTAGTGTTGGTAGCTTGTAAAAATTATCACATAACTTAGGTTGAATGTTTCGAGATGGTTTTTGCACTATGTCGTACTTTTTAATTAACACTGACGTGAATAAGGGGATACCCATAAAGCTTATATAATTTCGTTGCTGGGGAAATTTTTAAATTTTTTGTGTGAATATATTACCGCTAAAACAAAAATACATAAAAAGAAAAATTTCATGACAAGCTTCAGCACAGCGTATTCGAAGCAGTTTGAATATTTTGAAGTATCTCAAAACGCGGATTTAGCGGCAAAACACAACTTGCGATTATTTTGCGATTCATTGTATCTCGACTATTTGAAGGAATGTGATAACGAGTTTAAATACGATTTGAATCAAATCTATCAAGCAAAACTGAAAACCAATTCGAGTTTAAATTTTTTGGCTGAAAATGGAAAAACTCAAATTGAACAAAATGAAAAAATAATTCACAACTGTGACGCTGATGTTAACGAGATTTGCGAAAAGTTGATTGCAAAGCTTAATGAAAACAACAAGAAACGCACTGAAGAAATAAAAAACAGCTACCAGAAATACATATCTGAACATCAAGTAATGCAACAGCTTGACTCGTTGATTGAGTCTGTGACAAAAAAACAGCTAGAAAAGCAGTTTATTGAGCAAGTTCAAAAACACGAAAAGCAAAACCAGCAGTGGAAGCAGCTGTCTTTAATGCTGAATGAAATAATAATCAAGTATTAATTCAGAAGCGCAGGATTTAGAATAATTATTACTATTTTGTAATATTTTTATTTGGTTGAAAAACCAATAACTGACGTATTGTGAGCAAGGCTTAACAAAGCGCAATTAGAAAAACTATTTAAATGAGTGTGGATATTTACATTAACGAAAAAGAGCTCGAGTTGATAAATTTGCTGAAAACTTTTGTTCGTGAATCACCAACCTGTCCAACTAACAAAAACATACGATTTGCAGGCGGCTGGGTGCGTGACAAATTGCTAAAATTAAATTCTTCAGACATCGATGTCACAATTGAAGATTGCACAGGTGAGGTTTTTGCAGCCGCATTATTGAAATGGATGTCAGAAAACAATGGAGATTCAGTGTCGATCAACGCAAAGGTTAAAGCTAACCCAGAACAGTCTAAACACTTGGAAACTACAATGGTTACATTTTCGTCGTTGGGTTTAGACATTGATTTTGTTAGTTTTAGAAGCGAACGCTACGAAGGAAACTCGCGAATACCGATCGTTACTGTTGGTAGCCCAAAGGAAGACGCTTTCAGACGTGACTTCACGGTTAACGCTTTGTTTTTCAACATCTGTACTAACAAAATCGAAGATTGGACAACGCTTGGCATGAACGATTTAGAAGCGAAAATATTCAGAACGCCACTAGATCCTGTTCGCACGTTTTTGGACGACCCTTTGCGGACTGTCCGACTCGTTCGTTTCATTTCAAAATTTCCAGACTTTATTTATGACCCACAAATCGACAAGGTCCTTGAAAATGAAGAGGTTCGTTCCGCTTTGAGGTTGAAAGTTAGCCCTCAACGGATTCACCAAGAATTCGTCAAGTTGCATAAATACGACGACATCAGTCAAGCTTACCGCATCATGTTCAAATGGAACTTATGGTCGCTGATTCTTCCGGCCTCAGCAGGAGAAGTAGCTTCCCTGCATTCCAATATCGATCAAAAATACATAACATGTGCAATCATGTTTGACGAATTCATGAAACAATTCCTCAACGTCGTGAACGTTGGAAAATCACAACTAATCGAGTTTTTTAAAATCTCGGAGTTGTATTTGAACTTCCCTTACCTAACTTTTAAGTTTAGAGGACTTTTGCTGTTTTCGATTCTATTATATTGCTACGTAAATTTCGGCTGCAATGATAACAAGAAGAAGTTTGCTGCTGTGCAGCACGCATTAAATTGGTTTTCCTGCTCGTCTTTTTTCAAAAGTACCACAGAAATCATAATGTTGATCTTCTATTGGCTTGATTTTTTTTCTCAAAATTACAACACTTCTGAAAGAGAACACTTAATTAAAATACTGACTCAAAAAAAGAGCAAGGAATTTTGGCTTTACGCGCTGATTATTGCTGCTTTACTTTATTTCCAAATAACTGACACTGAACACTTCGTTGAGTTGAATGAAACACTTCATAAAGTTTTAGATCTCATTGTGAACAAGTACGATTTCGACGGGATTTGGGAATGTCCAAGATTATTGAATGGCAACATAGTCAAAGCCATGTTGCTTGAGCTTAAGTCCCAGCCTAATTTTAACTGTATGTCAGATCTGATGGCGTTTCAGGATCAGTTCATTTACGAACGATTCTCTCAATACAAAAATTCTCCCGAAACTCTTAAAATTGATTTAATAAATAAAATGAAAGAATTTATTGCCTCTAATTATTGACCGTGGAAATTACTATTATTTAATTGAATCACAAACGCAGCTCACGACTAACTTTGTCCGGATGATTGTGTTTTTTTTATTAATGTTTTTAGCTTCGGCTCAAGCCACTGTTTGCTCCTTAGCCTTGAAAAATAATCTACCTAAATACCTAACTTCCGCTTTGAGCGTTTCGGATTTCAAAGTTAAATTAATCACTGATAAAGGAGTCTTATTGGCTCAACTTGATCAAGATTTGCAGTTTCACGTGTAAGTCAATTGTGTAATAAGGCTTTACTAGGGATACAAAAAAAAATTATTCAATTAAAGTGCTTCACCCGTTTCTGTTATTTGAAGAAGCCATTGTTGATTCTTCACTGAGCGGCTCAATAATAATATCACCAATTTTGAGTTACAAGAAAGCGAATTTAGAAGTCGCTCCCAAATGTCGAATTCCATTAAGTAGAAAACTTGACTTTTACAACGAAGAACGACCATTGAGTATTTTTGAGTTGATCAAGCACCCAATCATGCTCGTGTTATTGTTGAGTACGCTTTATTTTTTTGGACAAGAGTTTTTATGTTCGCTCGCAAATACCGTTCAACAATATTCGACCGACAAAGAAATCCAGTCTCTCATAAGCAACAGCGAAAATGCTGCAACGGAATGCAACCTTCCCGTGCAGACACATCAGGAATTCTTGAAAGTTTTAAATAAAATCAATAAGTAAATTATGTGTTTTCACTCGTAGTTTTCACCACGTAATCTAGTTCTGCATTTTTCTCTTGCAAATTCTTTTTTTCAACTAAAACAGAGATACAGTTCTTCGTTCCGTAGTTGTGGATTACTTACTACTATTATCTAGCATATCTTGTTCGGCTTCAATGCTGTTTTCCTCATTGTTAAGCTTATTATCTTCTGGGGATCCGCTGCGTATCAGTCCTGCGTTCTGCTTTGAATCATAAATTGGTTTGTTAGTTATCGGGTTGTCGTTCGTAACATCATTGATGTCTGAATTGTTGTCGGGGTTGGCTTCCGTCGCTCCGTTGGGCATCAGAGTGACTTGCGGCGGTTCGCTATCCTTTAGTTTTGCATTTTCTTCAAGATTGTCAGCGAGAGGCTTTGCACCGTCTTTTGCTTTTTCGCTGTCCTCTGATTTGTCCCTTCCTTTTTCGAAAACACCACTTTCGGCTTCATTTGCTAGCTGGCGAAAACCGTAATTATTAGCCGAATAATTCACTGAGTTATCTAATTGACGTCGTTGCTTTCTAGCCTCGAGTTTACTTCTTAATTTCGAACTTTCGTTCGTTTTTTGTAAATCTACATAAATATTAAACCGTTACACTTACTTTTGTCCGTTTTCATATTTAAGCGGTTTTTCAGGTTCGAAACCAACGATCCTGAATTATTCTGCAGTTGATCAGGTACGCTTTTTCCATTGCAGATACAGCTCACAAAAGCACTTGCTATTGCAAATCTAAGCATTTTAGTACACTTTAACATGTTTGTTTCAAGCGTGTTTTTTTAAATCAATTTTGATCTATTTATTGCAAACAAATACAGGATACATTGCCAAAGAATTTAAAATTTTTTTAAAACGGTTTTTCGTCGTTCTACCCGACGTATCTACTGAGTTTGTTTGCATAATGCATTCATGAAATGACGAACTAAATAGCAAATATTATACGAAATTTTTTCATGTTATAAAATATAGTTTTCATTTGAGTGTCGCTTAATCTGCGCAATTACCTTCATAAACTAATCAATCAAAAAGTGATTTTAAATTGGTAATTGAATTACTTGTTTTAACTAAGTTGAATTATCTTTTGGTTTTATCTGAAAAAATAGCAGTTTGGAAAACCCACTAAAGCTTCAGTGATGTTGAATTAACCAAAAAATTTGGAATTATCTTTTTTCCTTCAAAAAAATCTTTTCCATCAGTAAGATCATTTCTTCACGATGTGTAGATCTATTGAGTGCCGTCGCCGATTTGTCTGAACTGTTTATGATGCAGTCAGCGCGTCGCTTGAGCCTCATGTAACACGCATTGCAAAAACGCAAATCTTGAATGTACCGCCATTGCGGCGTACTTCGGACTTCGCAGCAGCAACAAACCATCGGAATGAAGTCCCGTTTAATGTACGACTTCGTGGATATCTTGTTGTTGGAAACAACTTTTCGTTTTTTCAAAGTTTTATTTGAAATAAACATGTTGTTGCATCCTAGATTGTTGATGCAGCTGTTCATCAGCTTGTTGCACTGAGTTTCTGAGTCCGTGGAACAGTTAGAAAGTAGGTTGTAGATTTTTTCACAGTCGGTATTCTTAGAGGATAAAGCAATGCAGCGCCTCGACATCGCAAGCTTGCTATTATCTTTAGATTGACCGTAGTTAAATTTGGAATAGGTAAGGTATTTTTCAAACCACTCGGGATGGATAGTAAGAAATGACGCCTCCTGAATTGCATTCGACACCAATCTTTGGTAATGAGAGTCTTGACTTAGTTGCGAATTATTAATAATATCAAACATTTTTTGATGATCTGGGTTGCGTTTGGTTCTTAAAGAACTTATTGATTTCTTAATCTATGTAATAAATATTTTAAGCTGATTAAAATTACAAGAGAATCTGGATTTTGGAACAAAAAAAACAAAGAAAAAATACCATCGAGTTAACCACAATACCAATAATTTTTGGCTGCATTGATTATTGCTTGACGATTGATTAATTTGCTAAAAAAAGATTGGTCTCTGATCAGACGCTGGAATTATTTTATTTTGCGTAAAATAATAATTACTTACTCTTTGCTTTGTTCGTTTGCATCCGTCAAAACAGACAGCGCGATGACGTGAGCCACGTTGTTGAGCTTGTCCAAAACTCGTTTTTCTACGCGAACCTAGATATGAAAATACCAGAAGAAACGTACTTTTCCGCTGTACCCCAAACTCTTGTTCGTTTGGCGAATAAACTCGAGCAACTGCGCATCCGCGTACAATTTTTCCACCATGATTAATATTATTTTTTTTCCCCGGCAGCCATATTACCGCTCCGCAACGTAATAATTAAAATTAAATATTTTATTATCTTTTAACCGGTTCTGTGAAAAAATTTGATTGATTTTCTTGCTTACGACCTTTAAACGTGCCGATGGCAACGCTCTAAATTGAAAATTTGGCTCTAATTGAGAAAACTTATAACCAAGTTTTTACAATCCATAAAATAGTATTTATCTCTGAAAGTAATGCATTGAAAACATTGAAACTATAGTTGTATTTCGGTCAATGCTAAAATCGCGTTTAATTCAACTTCCCAAATTTTTTAGATATATTTAACTTTTTGACTGTACAAGTATAAAAATTACATTTGCAATTTTGACACAATTAAGCGTCTGTTTTTTCCACTAACTCAATAAGTGACTTTGCTCGTTCCAACAAACTAAAATTATTATGTCTTTAGAAACTTACTTTTTACGAATGTAAAGATTTTCCCTTTCTTTTAATGATCCAGAATCTAATTGTATGAGTTTTGAAACGTTAGGCTGCAGACTGACGATCAAGTTGTTTTGAATGCTTAGTTTTGTACCATTTATCAGGAAATGCATAATGGCTTTTTGAGAGCTGTCATAAATGTTTTTTCTGACTATTTCAAAATAAGACTTGACTAATCGCTTTATTAGCTGGGTATTCGTGTCGTACTCTTCTATATCTTTTGTTGGTTCTATATGCCCGATAGGGGTACTGATTGCTACGACGTTAGTACTCGAGTTACTATACAAATCTCCAGTTGAATCAGTATCGCTATACAAATTCAACTCTTCGTCAAATTTATTTTTTCTTTCCGTTAATTTTATTTCCTCATCGTTTTTAGCGTTAAACTGGCTTTCAGAAAAAGCTTTGACCGTTATTTTGTCTAAATTATCATTCTTAGGTGTATTTAATAATGATTCAAAAGCGTACATGAAATCAGGGTGTCGTTTATTAATATAAGCTAGTTCGATGTTTAAGATGTTTCGACAAAAGTCTTGACAGATTCTAGTATTCTCTTCGCAATACCTTAAAACTTTTTCTTTTATTGCGTCTTTCAATTTAAGATATAATGTAAAATATGGAACCAACTCAAGCACGGTTTGGTTCATCTCGAGTAGTAATTTCATTGATTTATTTATATATGATTCAACTATTGAATACATCATTTTAATTTTTTCACGAATTATGACGTCAAACACTTTTTCAGGAGTGAAAATGTATGTACTATTACCACAACAATTTTTTATCGCTATATTTAATGCTGTTGAATTGATATCAATAGTTGGATCAATACTATATAGTTCGTTCTTATAGGCCCCATTCAATAGTTCAATTAATAAACTCCCACCCACTAAGTTATCTTTTGAAAAAAGTGCTCTACCCTCGAGCACATCTTCGAAGGAAGACACGTATTCGTTTAGAGTTGTGACGAATGTATAAAAACAGCTAGATTCGTTCAATTGACTCAAGGTTTGGCCTTCTTTCTTTTTGTTAAATGAGAATGATTGTTTTGTTATATGCATGGTATTTACAGCAATAGTGTCTAATGACTTAAAACTAGTTAGCTCTTTGTTGATCTCTCCGAGTTTTTGATCAAATTTTTTTTTTAACAAGCTAATTGAACTGGCCATTATATTGAACAATACCACTTCTAGTCTAGTAATTAGATTTTTAATCGTTTTTTCTTCTTCAGCTGGTTTTTCGTTTGATATTATGATTGGAATATATCCATAACGTAACTTATAAAGTTTACCTTTAATTACTCCCTCAATTATTTCATCCGAGCCTACTAAGTCGTATTTAGATATGACTCCTACGGTTCGATTTCCTGTTGGATCTACTTCACGAGCTAATTTTAAGCTATCTGAATTTGCTATATCTTGATTAGCAGGACTTATTGCTACAATAACCGTGTTGGACTGTGTTATATAAGACATGATTAATTTTTTTATTTGCTCATCTAAATCTTTAGGCTGTCTATCATCCGGTACTCTGATTAAGCCCGGTAAATCTACTAATGCTAAATTAGGACACTTGCGGCTGTAAATTTTGATAAATAAAGGAGTTTCAACCAACCACTTGTCTGTCTTTAAAAATTTATAGGCGGTCTCTGAAAGTTCATGAGGAGTTGTAGCTACAACGTACCGATTGTCAGCTGCATCTACCACGTCTTTTTGAATTTGATCATATGAAGGAGGAGGGACCTTCAGTGATAAAACTGCGTAAAAATCAATTGATTTTTCATAGTATAGTCTAAATGAAACAGGCTGTCGTGTTACCATTCCATTTCCTTTAGGCATTACATCAGAATGACCGATTATTTTTTCTAAAATACTAGTTTTTCCAACACTTTGAGCTCCAACTACAACTAATCTAGGAATATTTTCTATGAAATCATGAAACGGAGTGTGCCAGTTCAATTGATCGAGTAAATTCTGAATTTCGCAAATTAAGTTTAATTTATTTTTTGGGTTAATGTTCAACATTGGATTTTTTTTGTCAATTGGAGAATTGGTAGAATTCATAAAAGAAATACCAAACTCATTTGCTTCTATATCAGTCTCGGCACGCGATGATCGAGAAGTATATCTATGTATCCAATTTCTTACAGTCATAAACAAAAAAATATGCAGAATTATGAATTCCAAAAGCTTTTCCGAGAAAGTTACACACAGAATAGTTTTCTTTAACTAATAAATAGTTTTCTCATAATTTAATTATATTAAAGACGATGCTATCATTATGAAGTACAAATATGGAAAATTCTTTTTAGCATAAATACTAAAGAAATGTTAGAAAAATTCTTAAAATATAAAGTACAATGAATAATGAAACTTTCAACGAAAACGAGGCCGTTTCGTCAGATGACAATTTTGAATCCGAAATAAGCGACTATGAATTAGAAGATACCAATCACGAAGATTTAGAATCAGAAGGTGATGAAAATGAGGAAGAGGAAATAGTGGATGATATAGACGGCCATGACATTGGATATACACACCAAGATATCAAAATGATCGATAATGATCCGCTAGAAGAAAGCATTATAAGAGGAAGAATAGAAAATTTATTTCAAAATTTGGGTATAGATGATAAAAATGTTTCAGACGACGAGGATGATATGTTAGAAACCCAAGCTTTTCAAATTGGATCAATGAAAATTAATATTGACAAACCTAGCCTAAACGCAGTTGAAGCGGTCAGAGCTTCATTAGTAGACTGTCTAGTGAATGAAATCCCACAAAAAATTCCCACTGCTTATATATCTAGTTTTAATAACGAAAAGTCAATTCAATCTTTAAAAATCATTTTTGAAGGTTTTCTTTGGTATTTTCAAGTTAATGAATCAACCGGTGTGGGTAAATATATAAAATTAATTCAACAGTGTGTATATAACGAAGATAACTTCTTAGTCATTGATTATCGAGATTTGAACGAATTTGACCAACGCTTCACCAATTGGTTAATTAATTTCCCTGATACTGTATTACCATTTTGCAATGAAATAGTATTATCAATAGCTAAAGCAATAAATCCTAGTGTTTATGTGAAAAAAGCGATTGCGTGTAGAATTTCGAATTTCCCATTCTCTCTTAGAATTCGTGAAATTACTCCAGGTCACATAAATAAATTTATTTGTGTTGAAGGTATATGCATCAAGCGTACCGAAGCGTCTCCTCAACTTAAAATTGTGTATTATAAATGTCTAATCTGTGGTAGTGAGATCAATGGGCCTTATAGAATAACTATACATGCTGAAAATACAATTAAAAAAATATGTCTAGATTGCCAATCGAAAGGTCCATTTCTGGTGTCTCAGGAAAACACGGTTTATGAGAATTATCAACAAATAGTTTTGCAAGAATTAACTTCAACGATTCCGCCTGGTGATATACCTAATCAATTTACAGTCGAGCTTTTTGGTTCTCTCACTAATGTGATAAAGCCAGGTGATGATGTGTTGGTAACAGGCCAATATGAAGTTCATCAAAGTATCTCATTAGTCAGTAAAGCTGGTTTTTCATTATTTACACAAACACTCAAAGCTAACTACATACAAAAACGCAAAAGTCTACGAATAAAGGACTTAAGCCCAACAGATATAAAGATCTTTTATAAATTATCTAAGCACCCCCAAATTAGGCAAAAATTGATTAAATCGATAGCTCCGGCTGTTTGGGGTAATCAGTTTATCAAGACAGCTCTTGTCGCTACTTTATTTGGAGGTAACAGGAAATTAGCTTCAGAAGGACATAATATTCGTGGAGATATAAATGTTTTGCTGATTGGAGATCCAGGGATGGGTAAATCGCAGTTTTTAAAATATGTAGAGCACATATTTCCAAAAACAATTCTGACAACAGGCAAAGGAGCTTCAGGAGTCGGACTCACTGCAGTTGTAAAGAGAAACACTGCTACTGGAGAATGGTCTCTCGAGGCGGGAGCATTCGTTTGTGCTGATCAAGGAATTTGTTTAATTGATGAGTTCGATAAAATGACTGAGCAAGATAGGGTTAGTATTCACGAAGCAATGGAACAACAATCTATTACAATTAGTAAAGCGGGAATTGTAGCATCACTACAAGCTCGGTGTTCTGTTATTGCCGCAGCAAATCCAATTGGAGATAAATACAATCCAACTTTAAATCTCAGCAGAAACGTCGATTTAAGCGGACCTATTTTGTCTAGGTTCGATATAATTTGTATAATTCGTGATAAAGCTTTCCCGTTGCAGGATTTAAATTTAGCAAACCACGTAATAAATTCTCATATTTTCGCTCACAGCGCGAACGATGAGAAAGCTTTCTTGAATTCACAAAGTCAAACGGGTACAAATTATAATAGCATGAACCACTTGACCAGTCAGATCGACTATTCCTTAAATGAAGAAGGAATTCCGCGATGGGTTATTAATGATAATATTATTCCAGAAGAATATTTAACTAAATATATTATGTACGCTAGAGAAACGTGTTTTCCAAAACTACAGCCTCAAAACGAATCTAAGATCGTTAATTTCTACACCACACTAAGACAGGTTACAGCTCATTCAGGAAACATGCCTATGACTGTGAGAAATTTGGAATCATTACTCAGAATAAGCACGGCTTTTGCGAAAATGCGCTTGAGCCCTGTGGTTAGTAAGTCTGACATTGATTTCGCAATTTCTACTGTGCTCGAATCTTTTGTACAAATCCAGAAGAACTCGATTGGGTTGGCACTCAGTAAACGATTCGGTGTGTATCGTGCCCTTGCAAACAGCCCAGAAGAACTCATAGATCAGTTAATAATGTCGAATTTTACCCGTCATATTCAAGAGCAAATGATTTTGACAAACATCAACGACGAGCAAGTCAAGTTAGACGGCGAACTTCCTGCAGAAGATATCATTAATTTGTGCAAGAATTTACATGGACTTCCTGAACTAATAGTTCGCAACTACTTCAATTCTAAAGCTTTTACAGAGAAATATGTTTTAAAAGTAAGTTAGTAAGAATAATATTTTTTAGCAAATTTCAGGTATAATGGTTATTGCTCCAAAAGCAGAATCCTAGTTATACTATTTTAACAAGTTCGAAAAATCCATTTAACCTAGAAAACAATGTTATCATACTTATGATGAGACTCTATTTAATTAATTAACAAGCAGTATCGCTTATAGAATAATGTTACTATTAGTTATTGTCGGTGCTCTGCGTTTGTATTTCCAGACAACTGAAGTCTATTTTTCCTTGTTTAAAGTGATCATTGGTTCATAACCATTATATCTAGAGTTGTCTCTATTAAATATTTTTTTCTTTTTGATTTCTTCTTGATAAGCCTGCCAGCCAGGGAGCTCAAAAGCGCGCATGTATTCCCATCCGCTACCATTTGCGCAAAGTACATTATAAAATGAGTAGACTACGTTTGCGAGATTGTAACAAATAATTAACCTGAAGGCTCCTTTAGTGATTAAGCCGATCCAAAAAGACATCGGCCATTTTAGATTTCTGAAAAAGAAAAAATATTTTGACTTTTCAAGGTTGTTATTTAAGCCGGAAAATAAAAAGCCTTTACTGTAAAGGTAGAGCAGCACCATATCGGTCAATATATAGCAAGCACTGTAACCAAGTATACACAGATAAACCGAGTAAACAAATACTTTTTTCTTAGTTATAAGATAATTACAAGTCGTCAACGAACTAATTATCAACCAAATTTGTTCCAACCGCACAAAGTTAGCTACCCAGTAAACGGAAGGCAACTGTCTTAGAAACGCGTATTCTTCGATCGCTCCGCCAGAAGGTTTGCCAACGATGATAACCGCCGCGCTATGTATTGGAAGAAACACGCCAAGATCTTTTCTAAAAATCGCAATGTTATGCAAAAAAAGGAGCGTTAATAACATAGCGAGAAGATAAAAAGTTAATGCCAAAGGGCAAAACTTAAAACCTTTCATTTGTCCGAACATTTTATTTAACTTATTTCAATACTGCAGGCCTCAATAGCTGCACTCATATACGAACTGACTTATCCAAAAATCGCAGGTTAAATAAATATAAGGTTTCATTTTAGAAATAAAAATACATTTAAAAATTAAAAAGCAAATTAAAAAGTTGATCGAGTAAGATTGTGCACAGAGAGTCCTTTGACACGTAAGAAAATTGATTTTTTTTGCATTTTAGTTTGTAATTCGGAAGGGGGTTCGAACGAAGTTGCCGGCGTTTCTTTTTCTTGGGCACTAGGTAATTCTTGTTTTTTGTGCGACTGGATTAGAGTGTGCAATTCAGCGACAGAATCACAGTCAAAAAACGTACCTGTTATAAAGTTGATGTCTCGCAAAAATAGTATGTTTTCTTTAGAAAGCATAGAAACTGTGACTAAGGACTTGGCAACGTCGTCAGCTAGCAACATCATTAGTATACAGTATTTCTGAAGAGTATAATCAACGGTAGCACCGTACGAGAGCTCGGTCAAAAGCTTCGATGTTGCTTCCACAACAACTTTATTTACGTCGTTAGTGTCGGCGTTGTAAATTTGTCGTGGTACATTTTTGTCAGCATCGTTAGATGATTCGTTACAGACGTGAGAGTCAGAAACGTACATTGTGCCCAAGAAAGTTTCCGCAACGAGTTCAACACCAAATCCAGTTGACTTTCCTGCTTTTTCTTTTCCGCATACATCTTCATATATATATACGTCGCTCAAAACGTGGTTGAATATTTCTCTAATTTGCGAGATCATTCGCACGACAAAGTTTTTTGTAACATGGCATGAGAAGGCAGAACCACGAAGTTTGTATATTTTTCCTGTGTTTAAAATGGTAAAAGGCTCAATCTTTTTGACAACTGGGGAGGTGACAGTTACTGAACCTCCGCCGTCTGGAAGTAAGCCACGAGCCTCGACATTCACAGACAAAACCGGGAGATTAACGCGTTTTTGAAAGCTAGAGATAGCTATAAAAAAACTGTTCACCGACGGGTCTAACGTGTGGTTTGTCACCCCCATAAGCTTGATGTTCAACGGAAAACTGAAAAAGTAGCATATCATACATAGAAATTCTAAATAGTAAGAAATTCCTCGAGTAGTGGGACACTCAAAAACTAGCTTGTCTTTGCAACCTAGTAATAATCCAGGATTTATAATGACGTTTGTGTTGTTGGCTGAGACTTTGATTTCAATGTCTTCTGAAACGAGTTGCAGTAACTTTAAAATAGCAGCCTCGTGCGGCCGCAAACCTGGAGAAATGTTGTCATCAGCGTGGACATTTTTTAAATGTAATTTTCGACCCGTCAAAGCAGCCAAGGCTATTCGTCCTCTGAAATTAGTTGCACTCTCGAGAGTTATTTCATCAACTATGGACGACATTTGCGCTACTTAAGTAACAATATTAGCTATTGTTTGTTCTGAAATTTACAAAGAGTAAAGACACGATTCGATGAGTTTTTCAGCGGCCTATACCATACGAAAATTTTTTTATCGATAATATGCGAGGAGAGAAAATATTTATTATATAATTTTATAAAGGTCTAATCTGATTGATACATTTATATAATGTGGCATACTAACCAAACGTAAAATAAATTACTCATGAAACCAATTGTAAAAATCAACTAATTAGAAACGTCTTGAGTAAGTTGTTTTAGATTATGTAGTCAGCAAATTCGAAAGCAACTTTTTTAGAAATTAGCTTAGAGTAAACAGTACTGAAAGTGGGAAGTTTTTCTTCAATGTTGTCTCTGAGTTTGTCCTCTGGGTTCAAGAAGATTTTGATAACACGTTCGCCACTTGGAGAAATAATGATTCTACGGTTGACTATGTCAATGTTACCAATGATGTCTTTTAACAAAGCGTTTTGGTAGCTAGCTAAAGTTCTGGAGAAAGGACGAATTCTCTGACCTGGACGTTTTTGATGTTTGTCGTAAACATCACGCTTGGCAACGAAACAAACATGTCTCTTGGTTTTCTTTTCTAATTCATTACAGATTTTTGTTTGGATCGGCTTGATATCTTTCATAAAGGACCTGTAAGAATAGCAGAGAACCAAAGCCTTACGAGAAGTTCCTTCAACGTCGTATTCACGAGCGGAAAGAAGTTTGGCATTTTTTAAAGCCTTGGCGACTTCGGGCGACTGGGAAATTTCAGCGAAGTCATTCAAAGTTCTTAGAACTTCAGATTTAAGAGAACTAACCTGATTAGCCATATTTGCTTGCTAAATAATAGAGCCAAAATATTTGTAAGAAAATGTTTTGTCTAAATTAGAAGCGATAGAAATTATTATTTACACAAAACAGGACAAAGTGCTCTTATTGTACATCTACCAATAACTTTTTCTGTGAGTATGTAGCGTAGAGTTATCAAATAACTTTATATTTTTTAAATTGAAATTTTTACAAAAAATTTTGGCGTGCTGTAAGCCAGAAAAAATATAAAAAAATCAGATTGGATATAATAAAAGAAAAATGCTAATTATAGTTTAACTGTGATATATAACGGATAGTGGGAATCATTAAACGAACGACACGGTTGTATACTTATTGAAATGACAAGTTTTTCACTCGGCGATAACTATTTGCAAACAGCTGAAAAAAGCAAAAAAGCAGGTTTTTTGCAAAAGTTGTTTGGTAAAAAAAAAGATCCATTCGAATTAGCAGAAGACTACAAAAAAGCTGCGATTCAATACAAGATTGAAAAAAACGTGGATAAAGCAGTAATGTGTTTTGTGGAAGCTGCGAAACAATACAGTTTGGACAACGACAACTACGGAGAAGCGAGCATGATGATCGAAGCCGGCCTTTTAAAGTTGCAAATGACAAAAAACACGGATACAGCGATTCCTAAGGAACTTGCCTCAGGCTGTAACATTTCTGCTGTCAACGGGCGACCTTCGATTGCCGGAAAAACCTGGAAAACTGCAGGAGAACATTACAAGAGCCGCAAGATGTACAATCTAGCTGCTCAGTGTTTTAAGAACTCGGCTGACGCTTACGGCCTGGACTCTGTTGCTAAAATAAGCATGCTCCAGAGCCACTGTGAATATGCTGACGTGTTGGCGCTGAACGGGCAGCTCAGAGAAGCTCGAGCCGTGTTGGAATCAGAACTGAAAAAATGTGTTTCAACTAGCTCTTATGAATATTTGTGCAAAGATTTGATATTTAAAATAGCTCTTTTGTTGCTGGCAGAAGGTGAAATGTTTGATATAGAGCCCAAAACGCTTGAGATAGTCAACATGCACTACTCTTTTAAAAACACCCGGGAATATAACTTCATTATGAATTTACTGAACGCCGTACTAAACGAGTCAAGCGAAGAACTAAGCCTAGCAGTAGAGTCGTTTGAAAAAATATCTCCGTTAGACAGCTTGAAGAACCATCTAATTAACCGCATTACCAGTCGTTTGCCAACTACAGCGGCTGAAACTACGACGAACAATGCAAACGATTTCCACAACTTCGAGCTGAACGAAGATGGCGAAGTTGAAATTCGGTAAACTTGTTTAAACACATTTATCGATCCTTATATTTTCCGTTTGCGTACCAGATTCTATAATTACTTTCTCCGAAATCCTAATTGCAGTGTTGATCAACGGAATAAGCCCGGCTTCGCCGCATTTTTCGCGCAGGATTTCACAGACACAATCAGTGTTAACAGCATTCACCGAGGAATTTTCAAACTTGTGCAGAGCGGAAGACACCTGCTCTAATTTCCAGTTCAGGTCTTTAATTATGTTTATTTGGTCTTTGTTTTTACGTTCCAGCTGGATTAGCTTTGTCTGTAGTTTTTGATTCTCTTGAGTCAATTCTACTATGCGATCATGTGCCATTCTGCATAAGTATCGCGTGTTGCTTAATTCTCTATCAATTTTGCTAGCCTCAGACTCGTAGTTTGTCAAGTGCTTTTTATATTGGGCAAGTTGGTTTTCCAGTTCTTTGTTTTTTTCAATAAACCTGGCTTGCAATTCCGCTACTTTTGTGGATTCAGCCAATTTAGTGTGCTCTATCTCGTTTTCCAGAGCGATGCATTTGTTATTGCAGCTCAAAAGTTCATTTTTTAAAATTTTAATACGCTCTTCAGAGTCTATACTAGCATTTTCATTATACATATAACACAATGTTGCATCAAGTATCAAAACAAAAATAATTTTAATTTAAAAAGTTTCTAGGGTTTTATTTTAACATTCAAAAAACGAAAAAACGATTTTGACAATGGGCAGCCGTTGAAAAAAAACTCAGTATGACTAAAACGCGGAAAGCAGTTGTACAATTCAAACCTCCTTGCTACTATTGTGACAGACGTTTTGTGAGCGAGAGATCACTCATTTTTCATCAGCGAGCAAAGCACTTCAACTGCAGAATATGCAAGCGAAAACTCGACACAGCTAGGGGCTGGGCCGTCCATTTGTTACAAGTCCACAAGCAAAACTTCAACAAAGTGCAAAACGCCTTGGAGGAGCGCTCAGATATCTCTCTTTTAATTCGAGGCATTCAGGGTGTTCCAGATGACTACATTCAGCGACTGGTTCAGCAAGACGCGCTAGAACAAAAGCCTAAACGAGAAAGATACGATAAACACGTAAAGCTTGCCTCTGATTACATATGCATTGATAATAACGAACTTTACATTGCAAACCTTGATAAAAACTCTGAACTTTACAAAAAAGTGCTGACTAAACTCGGTCAGTTGATCAAGCAGTCGTCTTCTTCCCCCGGCATCACTTTATCGCCGATCAACTCCGCAACGAACTTTGTTAATCCTTTGCACACAATGGATTTAACCTTAAACAGTGAGCCTATTGTGTTATCGGAGGAATTGTCTTCCAATTTGAACATTTTGGAAATGAGCAAAATCAAGAAAATCTTCAATCTTAGCGAATACACAAAAAAAGAGCACGAAAATCCGGACGTCAAACTTGTTTGGTCCTATAATCGCGTAAGTTTTTTAATCGGTCCGCCAATCCACGTTTAGATTTGTCCACTGGAATTTATTGCAGCCAAGTACTACAATGTCAAAGTTGATATTTAATACATATTTTCTTCTACGTTTGCATCTTTGCCGTAAATTTTGTAAATACTAAGTTAAGGTTTGCTTTTCAACTTACAGAGCTCCAAGTTTTTTGCTAATCGGCTTTTTTCCGTCAGCGACTACAATTTCCACACTAGTAAAAGCGTCTAAATCTTCCAAACCACGGCATAAATCAGCAACAGTCGGGTAGACGTTGGCGATAGCCTCTGCCAACTTGATTGAAACGCCTTTAATTTGATTTAATTGATTTATTAACAAATTTTTTTTTGGATCACTGCTGAACGGCTTTGTACGCGGTTTTCTTATTTCTCCTTTTTTTGCTTTTTCAAGCTCGGCCTTTTTTCTGTCGTAGTTGACTACGTAACTTTTGACGAAATCTAACGAGTCTGTTTTGAATTTGCATGGAATCAACTGAATGTTTTCATATAGATATGCGACTGCCATCTCAGGTAAAATTTTGGAGAAATACTCGGTAGAGATCAAACAAGTTATCTTAATTTTATAATATTTGGACAAAAAAAATAGGTTCTCACAGACGTCAGTGAGGAGAATGACGAAAACAGTTAGTAATCCATCGTTTTCAGCAAACTCTAGCACGGAGACGTTTTGGTTCGCGTCTTGGCTAGCATTATTTTTGCATGTACAAAACCGGTTGTCAGCAATTTTCACAATTAGCTTGCAATTCAGGCACAACCAATCTTTAATCATACCATTCTTAGAGTCTACAGTTGGTTGGGCGCATTTCGAACAGAGAGAGTATATTTTACAGATAAGCATAGAGAAATTTTAGCGAAATTATAAAAAAGAAGTAAATAATATAATACAAAGAAGCGAAAATTAGTTATAGGGTCCCTAGGCTCGCAAACGCAACAAAAACTTAAGCCTTATTTGCAGCTTGGATGATTTGTCCGAAATCTGGTTTAATAGAAGCGCCGCCAACTAACAATCCGTCAATAGTCTCCTCTTTCAAAAAGCTATCGCAGTTTTCTGGGTTGACACTTCCACCATAAACAATTCTAATTTTTTCAGCGGTTGCAGCAGAGCGAGTCTTTGCAATGGAAGCTCTGATGTAGTTGATAGTCTCTGAAATAGCTTTCGGTTCAGCGGAGATCCCGGTGCCAATGGCCCAGACAGGTTCGTATGCAATTACAATTTCAGCGAACTTCTCGTCAGAAATGTCGGTATTAGACAATATCTTGCTCAGCTGTTCGTCGAGCACTTTTTTGGTTTCGTTGTTTGTGAACTGAGTTTGATTTTCGCCGATACAAAGCACGACTTTCTTGTTATGGCTGATTAAAGCTCTAGTTTGCTGTGCAATGTCGCAGTTGGATTCTTTGTGGATAGCCCTGCGTTCTGAATGTCCAACCAGCACCCACTGGGTGTTGAAGTCATCCAGCATCTCCGGGCACAGGTCTCCAGTGTAGGCGCCGCACTTCGCAGAGAAAACAGACTGCACTCCGATTTCATAAGGCTTTTGAAACGTTTTTTGGCATTCGAAGACGTAGAGTGCGGGGGGAAAAATCACGACGTCAGCTTTCCCGGGTTTGTGTTCGTTGTAAGTCGAGCTTAGCTTTTTGATCAACTCAAATGAACCGTTGCACTTCCAGTTCGCGCCGATCCAAGTTTTTCTCGCCATTGATCTGAGGTTGATGCTAAATTTAAATAATTTATAAATTTAAATTTTTTGACTATTTTGCAATATTTTGCGCGATGAATCAGCGGGCTAGATGCAAGAAACAGAAATAAAAATACCGGGCACGCTGATTTCGAAAACGGCATACGCCAAGCAGCAAAGGGAAATAATTAAAAAAGTAAGAGAGCACTTGAAGTGGAACTTCAACTCGTTTCCAGGGTCACACCCAGTGTCGCTGTCAACGCATAACATATCTCTGTTGAAAAAATATCATTATACGGCCTGTGAAAAGACAGACGGAGTGCGGGTTTTGATGTATTGCACGTCTAACGTTATTTTACTGATTGACAGGCGAGAAGATATCTACGTGGTCGAAAACATAGCGCCTATCCAGCACCTTTTGAAAAACGATAACAACCAGTACATCACACAAAACGGCACCGTGCTGGACGCGGAAGTCGTCGTGGAAAATTACGAGGACAGCCCGGCAATGACGGTTTTGATTATTTTTGACGGGATCAAAATCCAAGGCATCAACTTGATGCCAATGAATCTGCTGGAGCGGTTGAGGTACGTAAAGGTGTGTTTTATCGACCCGTACAATAGACTACGAGAAGAGAACCGCGAGATCGTCGAACACGAAAAGACGAAAGGAACACACATCCCCATTTACCTGAAAGACTTTTTCGAGTTACCGTACCTGCCGGCGATCGAGCAACTAAAGAGCAGATTCTTCCACTTGTCAGACGGGTTTATTTTCACGCCCATAAACTTGCCGTACATCCCGGGCACGTGTTTGCAACTACTGAAATGGAAGCCCCACCACATGAACAGTGTGGATTTCGCTTTTGAGCCTATTTATTATTACAACTTAAAAACCCGTCAGTTCGACCTTCCCGCCGGAGGCAAGCTGCTGTTGAGTTCGGGTACGCGGTTGGTTGATAACGAAATTTGGTTGTCAACGAACTCCGGTCGTTGGCAGGAGTTGTCGCTCAAACTGGTAGAGAACCCCAGTCTAAACAATGTTATAATAGAATGCGTGGTAAGCGATTCTGCCGTGACACACATCCCCACGCCTCTGGAAAAAGACAACGCGGAACAAATATTACAAAACATACAAAAACACGCGCAGTGCGAACTGATAGAACAGAAAGACGTAAAAATCGCTTTTAACAAAGTCGTGCAACAATATTTCACCTACGAAATTCAAACGATCAAAGAAGGTGAAAATTGGGTTGCGGAACGCATCCGAGTAGATAAAACCACGCCCAACTCCGAGTTCACAATGAAAAAAATTTTAAACTCCATACTATCTAACATCTCGCTGACAGATTTGTACGAGTACATAAGCACGATCGACGAAGAGATTTTGTACCCTTCCAAACACTGCATCCTGCCGGAATATTACGAGTTAAACAATAAAAAAAGTTAAAAAATAAAAATTTTTCTTTTTGAACGGTTCTCAAATTTATTTTTACACAACGTATCGAACTGTAAACGTCATGTTCAACCCTAATTCTGCGATGTCCGGTTATCCGTCGGTAAAAGAAGAGATTAGTGATGTATCAGACGAAACATCAAACAGTGAAGATAACGAGTTAAACAAGCTCAACAACAGTGGAGACGAGTTTGAAATCATTACCAACGAAGACGAGGAACTGAGCGGCGAAGTCGACGAGAGCAACGTGGTTCCGTTCCGACCTGCTTTAGATAAGCTGGAGTCCGATGACGAACTGGTCATGGAACCTGAGGCGTACAAGATCTTCCAGTCGTTTTCATACACATGGCCGTGTCTTTCTTTCGATTTACTTGTGCCCTCAAAATGTGGGTTCAAGAAAGAGGCAGATTCGACTGAAATTTTGCTTGTGACTGCCACTTATTCGGCAGACAACAGCTTGAAACAGAACAAACTTTACGTGTCACGTTTCAACTACGACGTACTGGCCAAAAACTACAAAAGCTTAAACAAAAAAAACGATTTTGTCAGTTCGCAAGTCGACCACACCAGTTGCATGATGGTTAACGCTACCATATCGCTAAACAAACGCGCCATCAAGGTCAAAAAGTGCCCATTGTATGAAAGACTCGTCTACTGCGCATTTGAAGATGGTTTAATCCAGGTATACGACATAAACGACAAGATTCAGCAAGTAATGAACGAAACAACCAGCAATTCTTATGACTCGCCGATCTTCGATTACAATCTTGCTTCCGAAGCGTATTCTGTAGCTTGGAAAAACAATGAAGTCGAATTCGTCACTGGATCTAGAAACAACAAGATCAACCTTTTTAAGCCGATAGAAGGAGGGTGGGGCCTCAGTTCCACTCTCAAAGGTCACAATGGCTTTATCGAAGCACTGTGCTTCAACACATGTGACGACAACGTTCTTGCAAGTGGTTCTGCGGATCAAACCGTTAAAATTTGGGATCTCAGAACCAACTCTGTGTCTATCGATTTGAAAAAAGGCCACTTTTCCGACGTAAATTGTTTGAGCTTCTCGCAAACCGAAAATTCGAACCATCTGTTGTCCGGAGACAATGATGGCTTAATTTTGCTTCGCGATATTAGAATGCCAAACGTAAACTTAGCTTCCTACAGATACGGGACCACGTCAATATGCAGTCTAGACTGGAACCCTTCGGACGAATCCATGTTTTTGTCAGCTAGCTACGATAACGTAGTTCGTGTTTGGGATTTGTCGATCGAATCCACCGATGCTGACGCTGTTGTAGAAGGTGTACCTGACCAACTGTTGTTTGAACACTGTGGCCAAGTTGAGTTGACCTCAGCCATGTACCACCCTTACATCCCACAAACCATCATCAGCACCGGGTCTGAATCTTTCAACATCTGGACTCCAGACCTAACAGATGCTTAGTTTAAAATACCAATCAGAATTCTTCCTGGCTGGGCAATATTTCGCCCAGTCCTATAACGGACAAGAACTTTCGACAGAACTGCTTTTTTTCGTCTGACTCACATATGTAAATAGTCGATAGAGTTACTCCTCTATGCTGCTCACAGAACATCAGTTCTTTTGTTTTTTCTTTTCCAGCCGTTTCCACAATCATTTCTAGTAAATATTGCAGAAAATATCTCGACGAAGTTGACGTAGCGTCATTTTCTAGTCGAATAATGCGAATAGAACTCCATTCAAGTGCGTTTAACGCAAGTAGCATTCCAAAAAATTTTGCTAAATTTCTTAAGTTGGATCGTTCGTAGTTTTCGCAGTTAACATATATAGCTGACAGCAAATCAGACAATACTTTAGAAAAGTTTCTTATCGATTTTATCAAGCCTAAGGACTCTAATGCGTAAAATTTGTTAAATCCTCTTTCTTTTGCACAACAATTTAATATCATTTCCGCAACTATGGTCAAATCTTCATCCTTTGGTCTTATTCCTAGTATCTTATGTACAGCTTCATTAGAATTCGCCGATGACATTTGTATCAAATAAACCTGCTTTTTTAGTTCAAGTTTTCCTTGCAATTGTTTTTCGTTGCGTTTAGCTAACTCCAGCTCTCCAACGTTCTCAACATGTTCATTACTTTCTTCGGGTTCTGACTCACTTTCAAAAAAAGTATTTGAAATTTCTTCAAATTTTTTCTCAAGCAACATTTTAGTTTCACGACTCACATTCATTAATTTCAAAACATTTCCTTTTTTGATTTCTTCTATCAATAGCGAGAATTTCACGTTGGCCGGTGCGATATCATCTGGATTGCAGAGCTCAAAATATTTTTGTACGTGTATTTTTTGTTTACTATAATTTGAACGACGATCTTTATGCAATTGCTCAATCTTGTTTTTATGTAACGGTTTTAAACTTGTGCATTGCAAAGCTTTTTTTAATCTGTTGAAAAATTTATCTAAACTTAGTTTTGACGCATATTCTAATTTATATCCTACTAAGGAGAAAGATAACGCCAATAAATAAACACTATCAATATTATCGAGTTTGAACAAATACTTGTAGAAACACAGAATGAATTCGTCGTCAACTACATTCCATAAGTAGAACAAATTTAATAGCTTTGTAATAACGCTAAGTTTGAAACAGTTCTTTTTATCTTGATATTTAACAAATTCGTGTAGCAGTAATTTAAGTATTGTTGTATAATCACATTCAAATCTTGCTAATACAGAAGTTGTTAAAGCGGTAAACAAAAACAAATCGTTATTATCAGAGCATACCTTATCAACTACGCATTTCGAGAAAACTTGCTCATAGAGAAACATGTTTATCTCTAGTAACAGCTTTAATATCTCTTCAAATTTCGAGATCGTCAAATTATCAAGCAAGCCATTAATTCTTGTGATAACTTCTTCTGTTTCTAATTTCTGTTCTTCATTTTCGTCGTTCAGCATTGCAAATAATAAAAATATTTTTTTTTAGTTTATTGCCTTGCTCCAAAGCAAAAATAATTTTTTTTGATTTATTGATAACTTTTTATTTGCATTGTTGTGACAGTCTGTCATACTTTAGATTTTTCGATTTCAATTTACAAATATTGTCAAAAGCACTATATATCCAAAGAGTATTAAAATCCTGAGTTTTTACAAACCTTTCTAACCATATGTTTACTTCATTTTGGACGCTGTGCAAAAGTAAATTTCGTTGATCGTTACTTAAATTTAAAAATAGCTTTTCATCTTCGTCATTTGAATAGTATTTTTGTTGCTCTACACTATCCTGATTTGGGTTGATTGTCTCAATTAATTTTACTCCGTAAAGTAAAAAGTAACTGATTTTTTTAAGCATTTTTTTTTAATAAAGTGTGGATCAATAAGTTTTATCGTCGTTCATAAAAGTCAAATTAATTGAAAATTAACACTTTCAAATTTTAATTAATTTTTAATAATATTCAATTTGCTTAAACGCAATTCTGGTACTTGTTCAATTTAAACCGTAATACGTACAAATCTTTAATAGATCTTTTAGTCTTTCATGTTGATAAATTATATGATATTCTTTATAATAGTTTCTAAGTCAAATTCAAAAAACATTATTGATTGTTCATAAAAATAAACACATTGAAATTAAATTTGTAATTAAAAATTTTTAAGAAAACTAAAATATAGTTTGACATCATACAAGATAAGCATTACATGTTAAATTTAGTTTCATTTTTAAAATTCTTTAGTTTAATAGATAGTTAGTTGATATTCATGTAGATATTATATTTAAACCTTGGTTTCATACGGATTTGTATATTAAAACATATCTTAACGTGAAAATAGCACTATCGAGTTTAAATTTTAAAATTCTATTAGTGCAAAAAAAAGTTTTAATTCTTGTGAGTGTTATTGTACCAAATGGTGTTTTTTGAAAAATAAATAATATAAATAACCACATAACATAGTTTTTCAAAAAACAAGTCAGTTTATTCAATGGATGAAAAATTTTTCACATCTAACGTCATTGAAGTTTTCAGTTCTAATGGATATGGTGGAGAACTTTTTTTTTTATCGCCACACAAGCCATGGTTCTTAGAACTTCACTGTTTAAGACCTAAGAAAAATAAATTCACGTATCTCAATAATTATGAAGGCAAAAATCCTGTTGACGAAATTGTTGCCACTAAGAAACAGTTGGAGTTATCAGGCGTTTATTTTTCTATTCCGACGAACAGGAAAAATGTTACCGAGATAAGAAAGAATATTCCTGGCTTCAGTTTATCGGTAGTAAAAGCAAATGGTAATGAATTGCTAAATTCGTCAGAATATTATATTACAATAGACGCAATATTCGACGACGTTAATGCAAAAAGTTTTTCTCGTGTTCCGCTGCATCCTGAGTGTGCAATGGATTGGATGAGTAAAAGACTGATTACTTTTAGTGGACTGCAGTCGGGGGAATTGGTGTTGCCGCTGGGGAAAAACCACTCTATACTCTGTTATACGTTTAAAAATTATTTTACCCGTTCATTGTCGGTTTTTTATTTGGAAGTAAAAATGATTTACGATCACAGAAGTAACGCTTATCAAGTGTTTCACAAAAGCGTGTCACGGGAGCAACTTAAAGCCTTAGATAAAAAGAATAAGATTTCAATTCCTGATTACTTCAATGAATATTTCCACTCGCACGGAGTCGTGACTATTAGTCAGGTTGAAAATAATAAAATTTATTTTTCCGGTTATCTTTACTTTAATTTAACTCATCGATCATTTTTTTTTACTCTTTTAAATTATTTAATTGATTTATACATCAGTGAAAACACAGTCAAGAACTTGAAAGAAGCGATTAATGTAATGATGATAAATTCGATCAAGTCGATTGAAAAAAAGGTAACACTTTTCGAACAAAGTAATTAGGAATGGTCAGATAATTAGAATTAATATTCGCTAAATTATTTTAATATTTGTATCCAAATTTGATATATGTATGAAAAACATTCTAGAGGTTCGTACAACTATTCAAACCTAAACTATGACAATGTTAATTTTCAAGACATTATTGGTGATAAATATTTAATTAGTCAGCTTCAGTCGACAGTATGGCATCCTGACGGGTGTTCCTTTTCTTTGCCTGACTTGCTCAAGCAAATCAACTACAACATAGCTTGGAGAGAACTGAGCTATGGCTTCAGTTGTTTTTTAAAAAACAAGAAAAAGAACGTATATGTAAAAATTGACGGTACTGACACGCAAAATTTTATGTTTATTTACAACAACAATTTTGAGGTTTGCTATATTTTTCCGATGATTGTATTCGTGAACGCAAAATACGACATCGAAAAAGGTGATATCAATTTTTGTACCATGCATGGTATGTTTATACTTGCAGAAATCGACCCCAGATACGTTAAATGTATTATAATTTGCATCTGGGAGTTTTTGATCAATCTCGAGTTGTTGAATAAAGTTATTTAACTGTTACTTATTGTTTTTTTCATTGTACATATTTCTTTTCGATTTAAAATATTGGCCTGACACTATTTGAGCGGTTGAAATAAGTTTTAAGTATATTGTCATTTTCTAAGTAGTTTGACCGAAATAAATTTTTTGACAAAGCTTTTTTATAGTTTGATCTGTTTATCATTAAAAATTGACTAAATAAAACATCTATACGATTCGTCAGTTTAACTAGATTTAGATGATAAATTTCGTATAATGAGTTCAAATGTGCAAAGCATCGTTTGTTTGTCAAGAAACCGGTTTTCTACTAGATGTGTAATATTTTTTTAACTGATTAATTATGTACAATTTCGGTCGAAGAACTGGTGTGCTTTAAAATAAAACAGCACTAAATTGATTTAATCTTGAAATTAATTCTTATGTCTTATTAAAGTTTGAAGGTAAGCTCTGTGACGGTTTGGTTGTATGTCATCTGTGTATTATGATAAAAAATGGTGGTAGCTATAAAACTAATTATGTGACGGAAAATATTTGTTTTGGGATTAATCATCAGTTTCGAATTTTTTTTATAACAAACAAAACTCAAATTGAAAAGTTGGCGAGAAGTAAATCGACCGTAATGTTGGTTTTATTATTAGTAACTATAGTATTTGATAACGATAGGATTTTATAGATTGCTTTATGCTAGCAATTAAAATGCGCAAAACACTAAATATGCTTAAGAATTATTTTAATAACTAGTATCGCAGTCAAAAATTATTAGTATTATTAACTAGAAAAAGAACTATTAGTTCGTGATCTGTTTATTGAAACCCAACGTTTTAACAACCGATGTGAATTAAAAAGCAGCACTTGAAAATTGCCATTGTTTGTAG